AAAAGCATTAGGGGAACCATGGGCTATAGTATTCTGGAAATCAAAGGGAAAAGGAAGATTCTGAATGATTGGAAAATGCCAAAAAGCACAGTAAAGGTGTCAAGCAGAATGGAATCTGCAAACAACAGTTATGGTTTGTCTGGATGACTCCCAAAGCCTCATACAGTTATGGGAGCAGGCCTTTCATAGGTAGCTGAATGTAGAGATTGTGATTGATTCTTTCTCTAGTGCTGGAATTGGACCTGTATCCCTAGGGTGGGTAGCCTGTCCAATATAAGGGAGTAAAAGAGGTTTTCTCCTGTCCCTTTTTTTCTTATTGGTTTTGCTGTCTTCCGCTGCCATGAACTGTTGTCCTGTCATGCCACCCTGCTTTGGATTTAGCTGATTATAGACTGAAACCTCTACAAACTGTGAGCTAAATAAATCTTTCCTCCCTTAATTTGGAATGTTTTATATTTTATCTCAACAATGAGAAAAGAAACTGAAACAAACCCAGGCAGTTATGCAGCCATTAGTAGACTGAAATAGGGCAGTAATGGTGTAGATTCAATATAGACTGTAGCTGGGGAAGGGTTAATGGCTGTAGAGATGAGTAGGCAAAACAGTGGTCAAGAATGTGGTTGTAATCTATTAACTGGTGATTTCTTACTGTTTTTTTTTTTTGTAGTTCTGTATTACTTGTACCCTTACACTGCTTTGTTTTGTTTTGTTTTTTCTCTTTTTTCTTTTAAATAAAATTAAAAAAAAGAATGTGGTTGTAAAGTATTCAAAGGATTGAGAGTTACTAAAGTAAATGAAATGATAATTTGTTTTTCTATTTTTTGTTCCTTCATTTTGGTTTTTGAGATGGGATGTCACTATGTAGTCCAGGGGAGCCTCAAATTTGCTATATAAACCAGGCTGCCTTGAAACTCCTAATCCTCCAGCCTCAGCCTCAGGAGGACCAGGAGTATAGACTGTGCCACTATAGACAGCCAGGTTTTTGATTTTGAAATGTTTTTATAATGGTGATTTCAATATTATTTGTATGAGAAAAAAAGGAAGCCTGAGAGGAAAAACAGATTAAAGAGTTAAAAGAAAGGTGAATAATTTTTCCTGGTTAGTTTTTCGATCACCATTTTGTCTTGTGCATGTTTATTGTGGCTTGAATTTATATTTAGTTAAGCTTGAAAACAAGTTAAAGTGTTATGATATGACTCACTGAGACATTCAGTAAGGTAAAATCCATTTAATAATTTAATATAGCTTAGTACATTTCTAATATGTTCTTTCTATGTATATGTATACATATATTATCATCTATACTCCAAATTAATACACCAAATATGGAGGTGAAATTGTGAAATTATCTATACAATTTAAATAAACAGCAAATAATATGTATTATTAATTTGAGTCAATCATTTTTATTTTATTATAGTAAGGTGATTATAGCAATAGTGTACTTTTCTCCTGTGATTTGGCTTGTCAGAGTTTATAGAATATATGGGCATATTTTCCAGAGACTCTATAATTGTGACTAAAACTAAAAGATTGCTGGCTGTTGTAGTCAAAACAAGTCCTTTCCTGCCTGGACCAACCATAGAAAGTGACAATTTGTTTATTGTAAAGACAAACTGTTTAAATTTGGGGTTCTTGTGCATGCCAAGGATTATTTTGGCAGTTTAGAGAAGCCTATTGGCTTCTTTTTAGAGCAATATTCTTGAACTGAGCAGATAGCTTTGTATTTGAGTATATGCTTAGGCATGTGTGAAGCCCTGAATTTGATCCCCAGGATTGCAAAAAAAATTTTCCTTAAATGCATACAAAAAAAAATCATAGCATTACAATGGAAAACAGCTATATTCAAGTACAACTATCAAAATACCTAATAAATTTGATATGGTAACACAGTTCTTTAGTAATGCACTAAATTACTCTCTGTTCTTATCTTTTTTTTAAAATTTTTTTAAAAGGGCTGGAGTCTCTGTTCTTATCTTAAAGTATTTATATTTGTTTATTATAGTTGTGGTGTTAATAATATATTCTTATTCAGGCATTGTCTATGTGTATAGTCATTTGATGATTTACTTGATGGTATACTCATACATCTTCATCAGTATCCTTGGTCATCTCATAGATATCCTATACTTGCATACATATAAATATATATGTTAGATAGTCCAATAATTTATGGTTATTCAGTATATTTACTAGCAGGCAAAGCAGAAGACAACTTTAATAATTCACAGAGACACAGTCCCAAGCAAGAAATATTCCTCTTGATCTTTAAAGTAAGAAGGCATTTTCTCCATCTCTGTATCCTTTTAACATGTTGTTCAAGCTTTGATGACTGCTGTAATGACCAGGAAACTCATAGTGGAAAGTACCAACCTGGACAAGTTACAACTTTAAGAAACTGGTATTTCAGTCAGATTTTGACTTGCTTATGGCTAAATGCCCATTATCTATGTTTTCTGAAGAAAAAAAAAAAGATATATTTGCTTCCTTTACCCTCCTTGCCACCCAAAAAAGTTTTCCACTAGGATTTTTACTTTAAGTATACTTGGTTGTATTTGAGTCTTTTATGAAAGCACATTCTGATAGGGACAAAGTGAAAGGAAAACATAAGGACCCTGACTAATTGGGCAGTTGGGTGCTTAACTAAAGATGATTCAGGATATCCTGAAACCCCACAATCTATGTTATTCAGACAAGTTACAGATATTTCACTTGAGTGAAGATCATCACTCCTTTAAAAGAAATGTAGTGGAAATTTTTGCTAAATCCTGAATTCAGTATTTAGCTTTTCTGTTTCTTTATATGACTGTTATATAAATTCTAAAAAATTGCTCAAAAGCATCTAAATAATCCTATTTATAAACACTTTCTCACAATGAAATGCTGCAGAGTTCCTGACTACTTTAGTTATGTAAATTAGTATTGCTTAAAGTACAGAAAAATCAAATATCTTAAAACTGTCTGAAACATGAAAAACATTTTGTAAGATAAACTGGAAATTGAGAATAGAAGACAAGTGTCAAATACTACAGATGAGAGTCCAGTTCAAAGGCTGTAAAAGAAAATAAAAAAGAAAAACTTCCACTTGAGAATGTTATCTTCTGTCACGACTGTCTTTCTCTGCTATTTTCCAAAATACTAAAAAATTTAAAAATCCTTACAACAAGAAGACATTGTATGAAATTAAACAACAATGAGGTAAACCGCTCTGCACTTAAGGGAAAATATAAACTATTATTATTGAATCTCAAGGTTTCTTTTAGTCTTCTTGTGGTCATTAACACTGACATTGCAGAACATTGTAAAAAATGATTTCAGAGACTCATTTATAATCCCTGGAAAAACCTAAAACATCATTCTCCACCATATGGAGGCATGCAGTATCTAGGAAGTTTTCAGCTATCTAGAATGATCTGTGGTGCTTTTCTCAAAAGTATGATGAATAAGATAAGGCAGATCAAAAAGTAAAGCTTATGTTGAGAGATACTTTTTGCCCAAGGATGACATATTTATAAGTGGCAAGATTTCAGGTCAAATTGTAAACTAATTAACCTCAGCACATTTATTTATTTATTTATTTTTGTGCCAGGGATTGAACTCACTACCTTGAGCTTGCCATGCAGGTGCTGAGGCCACTGAACTAAAACCCTGGCAAACTTCAGCACTTTTTATAAATGCAGTATTGAACCTCGAGGTAATACATCAGTAGAATACTGGAACAATCATCTGGAAAAGTGTATAAAGCCTAACATCATCATTTCTGCTTTCAAAATCTAGAATATATTTGAGAGTGGTGTTCTGGATTATGATGTCTCAGAATTTTAAAATTCTAAGCTTTCTGGCATTATCCTTACTTCATATGAGTAACCATCTCACCTTATTCTGATATTTTCTTATAAAGACATCATACACCAAGTTACAGGAATCCATTTTTTCATAAATGTATTGGGCAGTTTTATAAAGTTGAATTAAGCATGGTTCCGAAAATTATATTTTAAAATATTTATAAATAGAGCCAATTGGTTAAAACTATCAAAACTCACTAGATAAACATTTGAAATATAATTGGTCTTCTACACAGTAAATGACTTTGTCTATCCTTAAGAGTTTTTTAAATATAGCAGTGTAATAGTACTCAACAGTTGAACAACTTCATATTTGAACTCAACAGTTAAGTTTACCTATGCCAGTGTATTACCCAATATAACTAGAAAACTGTAGCATTTCTGATTATTTGGGTCACTCTATCTTTGTGAAATTATCCTAGAAATTTCACTGAAGGTTTTGCTTCTTTCTGGAATCCATTAAACTTTTTTTCAGCCAAATACCTAAAGAAATTCCTATGACTAAAGTCTCTGGATGATTTGATGGATGATATCCAAACAGCCTATAAATGTTAACTTTTAGAATTATTTTGTTGTTTTAAACACTAACTTTCTAAAGATGCAGAAAACCAGAAAAAAAGGAAACATCAATTAGAAACTGAACACCGCCTAGTTATATCAGTCAGTTCCTGTCACTGTCCGTAGACTTCCAAGCAAAATATTAAGTTTAATGAATGTAATATTTACAGCACTTTCAAGTCCCACTTTTGGTGCTGTCTTCTCACTGTTAAGGTTATGTGCCAATTCATGCTCTTGTAGAATGAAGAAAATTAGGTTTCTTCTGCTTTGCAGATTGATGTAGAGTAAGGCTTCAGACATCAGTCATTTTAAGTTATACAGAATAGGCTCAGAAATGTGTAAATCTTGTAGCTTTTATTTTTATTTCTCTAACCTGTTACGGAGTTTTAGGACAGGAGGATAGCTGGGTCCCAAAGGCAATAGACAAACATTGATCTCGCTATTGCTTTCCAAGAACTCTATTAACTCCCATTACAAAGGAGAGTGATGTGAACTGAGTTTAGTGGTGTAACTCTCTGTAACCCCTTAGACACACACAAGAGGGAGGGAAGAGGTGGGGGCCAAAAAAGCAGAAAATGGGGTCAGAAGAAGACTCACCGCTTCTGCCAGTTCCTCCATCAGGCACAAGGAAACCAGGAGTAACCACAACCTAAAGGGAGAAGGAGGGTGAGCATATGGGCTCTTTGGGCTTCAGGGTCCTGTGCCTGCCATTAGTCACCCAAACCATTTTGATGCCGGCTCCCACTTTCTTTGTAGTGACAGAAGTACAAATACAGTCCTGGCCTGCAAAGTAACCCAAAGTAGAAAAGAGGAGGGAAGCTGGAGTTCTGGGCAGCAACAGCTCACCCAGGGTACATGCTTGCTGCTCCTCGGGAGCTGGGTCCTGGGAGACTCTAAGCAGCTCCGCGGCGCTCTCTCATGGGGCTCGCTGATGTGCGGCTGCTTTCTTATTCAGGACAAAGTAAGGGGGCAAAGCGGCTCAATTTAGAAGCAAATAAAATCAGCTTCTAGATAAGAACTCAGCGGTGCCCGCTACAACTTGCAGCACTCAGGAGATAGTTCCAGGCGCCTGGAGAGAAAGGAATGTAGTGGGAAGGGGCGGAGCCTTCTCCTGTCAGTCATCCCCCCTCGGCAGCCAGTAGTCTTTCTCACTTTCAGCCACTTCTACACACGTTCCCAAGCGTCGCCACAACTTCACGCATAGGTCTCTAGAGACCTAAACAAGACTACTTAAACAACTGGGCATCAGATACTTCCATAAAGCACTGTTAACATTACACAGAGTTAGGCACACTAATACATAGATAGACCCAAAGGTGCCCTTGAACATAAGTCCAAATGCATACAGTAATTGACTGCAAACTAAGCACTTGGTAAGGGAAGGGTATTTATGGAGTTGTAAATCTACTTTCCGATCAATAGAACCTAGAGATGTATGGTTCTGCACAAAACAGATCCAAAATGTGAGTCTCTAAAGAAGTTAACACTAGAGACTGAGATAAGAAAAATATTTCAAATAATTCTTCAGCAAATTCCTGAAAGATCCTCCAGGGTCCACATGAATAGTTCTTGGGCCATTTGATATTTTAAAAAGAATCAATCAGAATTATCAAAGTAATGTTAGATTCAACTTCCATCAGCTACATACACATATTTCCAATTAAGTTTTGTGTTCATTCTGAAGAAAACTGACTAATGCTATTAAATTCTCTGCTATAAATCCTTCTGAAATACAACAGTCAATACCTTTAATAGTAGTTCAAGGGGGGAGGTAAATATTGTGGCACACAACATACCTGAGTAAAAAGATGTGACCGTATTACACATAACATTCAATCATATAATAATTGCTAACCTGGAGAATGCTTCCTAATCTTATACATGTATCACACACATACTCACATATATTTTTATTTTTGTCTCCATTTATAAGTATAGATTTCCAATATTTTCAAATCTTATGCTTGTGTATAGAAACGTTGCCCAGCGAGCACTTGGAAGACAGAAAAGACCCTTAACCCAGAGAGCAGTCACCAAAATTTGTTTCTAATGATTAACAATAAAAGTGCAATCTTTCTTCCTGAGATTCGTCCGCTTAAAAAGTAGTCCCAGGTTAGGTCTATTTGTTATTGGCTTGATGCTCACATGAAGAACAGCAGAACGGAGCAGTAAAGAGTAGACTCAACGTGAGGTGCAAATGAACAAAAAGAAAGGCTTCCTGGTTGGACTCATAATAGTCCACTAGTCTAGAAGTTTCCCCCCTCCAAATAACTGAGCGTCACTCCCTCACAGGTTGCTAGTGCAGACTAAAGCTGTGGCGGAGTGATACTGAAATTCCCCTGTGCTGGCGTGGAGGGATCAGTGAGGAACGCTGAGGGGATGAGACGGAGGAAAGTAGATCTGTGGGACTTGAGTGAGGAAAAAGTTTGCAAGTCTGAACGGAAGGGAAAGGTGCTCCCGAGAGACGGGCTTTGGGGAGCAAAAGGAGGAGGTGAGCACAGCTACTTCTTTTTCTTTTTATTTTTTTCTGCTCTACTCTTAAAAAGCTTCTTTTTTTTTTTTTTCCACCCAAGAAGACCGGCACAATTGGAACACCCGCTGACCCACTCTGGCTCAAGCTTTCTCTCAATAAATCCTCAAGATTATGTCAGTCGGTCAGAGTCAGCCAGGGACTTCATGCTGGTGCTGAAGGAGCTGCAGGAGCTGGGGAAGAATGAAACTGCGTGGAGTCAGTCTGGCTGCCGGCTTGTTCTCACTGGCCCTGAGTCTTTGGGGGCAGCCGGCAGAGGCTGCGGTAAGTCCTCCCCCAGTCCGAATCACCGCACACTCGCGCTGAAATCACTTCTTGTCCTTTTACTTCTTTTTCTCCTTGACCTTCGCTAGGGAACTCAGATTTGCTTTCAATTATTCAGGCGTAAATATTATTTACGACGCTGATAAGGCAAGCCTTCTAAAGCTCAAGGGAGAGTTTTAGGTGTTTAAAAATAGGGCCGCTTGCTTCTCTAAAGCTAGCTCTTCTGGGGCAGGAGCAGAGCCAGGGTGCAGGACTCATTAATTTCTCACTAGCCTCTGCTAAGTATTTAAAACTTTTCCTTCCCTCCGCCCTCGGGTGTGTCCCTGCCTAACCTTTTCACTACTTGTGTGCAGCCCACACACTCTTTCAACTTTGCCTATAGTTTAATATTTTAACTCTTCTAAAATAGTTCTTCTATCAAAGTGTTAAACTCCCGTTTGAAGTTCTCTTTTACTTTTTCCTTAAGCAATATGAATGTATCCCCGTTAGGTCAATATAGCTACTAACCTGCTTTCTTTCCCCCTTTGACAGCCTTGTTATACAAATGCTAAGGTAACATATTAGGAAGAATGAAACAAAGACAGATGGCTTCAGACTTTAGCTTTTATTTTTCTCCTTTTTTCAAGTTATGGGCTCTTGTTTCCTTTTTTTTTTTTTTTTAATTCTAAAAGGCACTGGAATAAATCTAGTATTTGTCCATCACCCATTTAAGAACTAAACTTCACCAAATTAAAAGAAAAGAATTGTGTGTTTTCAAAGGAGAATGTGCATTCTAAATTAAAAGGACCAGTGAGAAGAAGGTACCTGTGAAGGGACAGAGGTAAAATTCCACTTGATTTTAAGAATGTAGAATTAAAGCGTCGATATATCTTTCAAAGGGTATCAGGGTATTCTCATTCCTTGTCTTTCTGATAAGAGGGCAGATACAGGGGAATGAGTAGCTTTGCCACTAGCCTGAAGCCTATCACCCTTAATTTCACTGAACCTCTAAAGAATAAGTCTGACAAATTATTTAAATTTTGTAATTGAGTAATCATAATGGGGGGTTTAAAAATACTTTAATATGATATTATGGTTTAGGCCTTCACATGGTTGGGTGACTCAATTTGTTATGTGCAGCTGCTATGTTATAGCTTAACGGGGTCCACTGTTAAGTAAGTGTAGTTTCCCTATAGTACTTAGCTCACCTCACATCACATCTTTCTAACATCTTTCATCAAGTGTGTACTCAAAATACACTAACTTTTATATTTTATACACTAACTTTTATTTTATGATCGTGGCAAATATACTGAAAAGTCATGTATATCTAATATTTTAATTTATGCATTGCATAATTTTCCATCATCCAAGTAGGTAAATGATTTACAAGAGCTATTTCATGCTCAACATCTCTAATGGATAAGGTTTAGCCAGTCAATAGGGTTACACACTGTAGGATTAAGTTACAGTTGTGCTGTTGAAAATAGTTCTTTTTGAGACCCACTTGGTACCTACTCCTCAGGTATTTGGCTGAGGGGAAACGATTTTGTGAAAGATTCATTAAATATTTTTCTTTTTTGATCTTGCTGTTAATAAATGTACAACTGATATGTACTATACAAGTGTGTATAACAGCAGTGCATGCCAATTCATATAAAGTCAATTTATGTTATGTTAAATGATTGATAGAATTTAGGAGCGAGTTTGTTTTCTTAGATTTCTAAAGTAACAGTTGAATGTTCATGAAGTAAAGCACATTTTTCCCATTTTCTTCTTATATAATTTTAAAGAACAGCTTAATTCCATTTTTCCTATCAAAATACAGTGCCTCTGTTAAAACGAGGGATTTATTTTTCCTGCTTCACACATCAGTAGTTAAGATGAATGTTTTAATCATCTCAAAAATATGAATGGTATCTCTTCTCCATACCGTGCCAGGGATATTGGTGACCTTATTCAAAGTAATATTGGATAGTAGTGGAGCTAATAGTTAACTGAAGTAGTCTAGTATAGAGACTCTTATATTACAAAGTGCATTCCTACTTAAACTGCTTTCCTTTTCCATGGTTATATAGATTCCTTTACCTTTTTGTTGCTGTTATTGTTGTTCTGGTACCAGGGATCAAACTCACGACCTCATGCTTGCTTGACAGGTGTTTATGCCACTGAGCTAAATCCCTAGCTTTACATTTCTTTATCTTGAACTCCTCCAAAATTTGGGTATCACAGTTATGTGGAAGATTTTTTTAGATAACGAGTTCATTAGGTGAAATAAACTATTCCTGTAAATTAAAAGGTTAGCACAAGACTTTAGTACCTGTTGGTTGAAAAAGTCATTTCTAGCAATTGAAATGGAGTATTTTCATGTAAAGATAATTACACTTGTACAGACTCATTTGACACAAGGATATGTACTTAGATACATTTATAGTATTAAAAATTATATTACTTCTACAGAAATATTACTAAATTGTTTTTTGCCCAGTAGGGTGGACAGTTTATGACAATATAAATGAACCATGCGCCTGGTGACCAATGGTAAAACTTCATCAAAGACAGGAGTTTGCTTGGTGGCCATGAAATAACTATTTTTCCATGAAGTATACTGCTCCAAAGGAAGAATTTGCCATCGTTGTCTTCATTATCATTGTAGTTTTCACTTTGTTTATTATGTACATGACACTGTGCTGTGAGTACAGTAATGTATATTATATTTATTTGTGTATGTGTGTGTGTGGTACTGGAGATTGAACCTAAAGCTTCATATATGCTAATCAATTGCTCTTCCAAGTTTTCACAACACATGTATGAGGTACATACTGTTATTTGCACTTTACAGATAAGAAAACTAAAAATCATAGAGGTTTCATAAAGCATTAGCAATAAGTTATAGAGCTAGAAAATGTGAATTCCGATAACTTGATTCTAGATTTCTTGCCTTTACCAACTGTCCTGTAGTGCCTCCTTTTTGTGCAATCTATAGAGATTTATTTAAGGTTCACTGTGTAGATCACTGCTACTAATTTTTTTGAGAAAAAGGGTGCAATAGAAATAATGAGGGTTATACATTTAGCCAGCTTTAGGAGAAGCAGCATAGCATAATGAAAAGAGCTTTGGATTTAAAAAGAACAGAATTTGATCTCTGTATCTGTATCTGTTAAAAGTGAAGTAATTTTATAAAATCTACAACCAGTCGCTGCTGCAGATTGTATGATTTTATGCAATCACAATATATATAAAGTTAAGTTTGCAGGGCGTGGTGGCACTCTCTGTAATTACAGTACTCTGAGAATCTGTGACAGGAGCATGCAAGTTCAAGAGTAGCCTGGAAAACTTAGGGAGAACCTTTCTCCAAATAAAAAAATAAAAATAGGTCAGGGATACACCTCAGTGCAAAGAGCCTGAGTTCAATCCCAAGTATAAGAGAAAAAGTAAATATTTTGAGAAATATTTGCCTTATGTTTAATTACTAAGTTTCTACAGTAATTCCCTTATGCTGAACTTTTCAGGAATGTGTCTGTTGTAAAAAAGCAGGGTATGTGGGCATGGAAGCACATTTTTGCCTGAAATACTCACTTTGATATTGTGTTTTTATCAGTTTACCTGCTCTGGTTCTGGTCACTCAAATACCTGTGTATCTTTAGCCTTGTTCATCTTTTTTATGTATCAGTATGTATCTGTTCTGGAACTGTATAAGAGTGTATGCTTTTTCTTGTGTTTTTATTTGGCTGTTGATTTCTGTATATGCAAGACACAAACAAAACTCTTTACCTTGAGTTAAATTAGATAACTTGGTTACAATAATGTCTGCAGGATTTATCTGCTATAACATCATTATTTCTGACTTTTGTATTTACAGAATGAGCAGGTCTGTCAAGACTATACAAGGCAATATTGTAAGACAGTGCAAACAATATATTTCTCATCATACATTCATTTGTTCACTAATTTTATCATCTATTGGTGATTCTAGGTTAAATAATTATTGCAGTAATATTTACCAAATGGTGTTTTAAATTCTTATATTCTACATTAACTACTTAATTGAATTTTACTGTATAACTTTCTTCTCCAGTATTAATTTTTAAATTATTTTTCTATTTATATTTGTCTGCTCACTGGCTTATAGTAATAGAGAGTTGATGAATATTTGTTTAACATATGGAGTATAATTAAGGATAATCTTTTTATAGATTTTGTTTTGGCTGAAATTACTCCAGATTTGGCTAGCAGACATTCCTTCAACTGGCTTTAATGTATTTTCAGTGTTTCAGTGTTTCAGTATTTCAGTATTTTCCATCATGTTTTTCAACATTTCTGAGACAGGATCTCAGTATGTATCCAAGCTGGTCTTGAATTTTCTCTGTAGCCCAGGATGGCCTCAAACTTTTGATCTTCCTGCTTCCCAAGAGCTAGGATTACAGGAAGTTGCCACCGTGTGTTGTTGTATTCCTATTATTGTTTGAGCACCCTCTTGTTTTCTAGTAGCACAAAATGAGCTAAGCTCATTTCTACTGTTCTTGTTCCAGTCCTGGAATCAGCCATTTCTCTAAAGAACTCTAATTTATTTCATTAAATAATGGTATTTAGAAACCAATATCTGAGTGCGAGGCATACTCATTGCCGTAGTGGTATCATGGGCCTCTAGCTCTTCTCAGCACACAGAACTAGCAATACATCTCTGATTGTAGTCCAAAACCACTAAATATATACATGTATTTCATGTAGTAGAATCTTGCCATTTTCTGATATATCTACTCAGACAAGTTTCATGGTTTTTTTGTGGTATTATTCAGAGTCTTTAAAACTTGGCTTCTGGACTCAGGTCCAGAATTTGACTTTCAACCAAGTAGTGACCTCTGAGCCTTAATTTATTCATCGGAAAAGGGGGAAATAATACCAATTTCATAGATCATTGTGAGGGTAAAATGAGAATTTATGTAAGAAATTTCATAAGAGTAAACATTACATTATTGTTGTTACAAACTATTTATCCACTTGCTACTGCCTTTTATTTT